TCATAATAGTATTAATATTATTTAAACCTTATACTCAATTTAATATATGACACATAGGCCATATATTTCTTACAACTAACTCTGTTAACGAAACAAAATTTACACAAAAATTGCTAGTAGGAAAAGAGTGGGTACCAAATCGAGCTGAAAAGAGTATAAGCCAGCTGATATCGAGAATAATCGCACAGAAGAGAAGCACAGCGTAAATTCTTCCAAGGCTCTGGCTACTACTCTCGATCACAACGAGAGCAAAGAGAGCTATGACAAGATTAATCAGCGGTACGCCATTGAACAACACTCCCAGAGATCCAACAAGAACACAGCCAATCTAAAATTCAAACACAACAAAGAAATGAAATCTCGAAACCTAAGCCCTATGCAAGAAATTGAAATTGAGAACCCGTAGGGGGATTCGACTGACTTAGATGTAGATGAGGATGACGGCTACGTCTTAAATCGATTCGAGTTGATATGAAACAGCACGAGATCAGAGAGGAGGCTGAGCTTCTCGGGGAGATAACCGGCAATGTCGGAGTGGTTGAAGTCGATTCCGGCTACGACGGTGACGTTAAGGTTTGACGGTGACGGATCGGAGACGCTAGCTTGTTTCCAATCCTGGAGAGCAATGTAGGCTCTGCGGAGGTTAGGGTTTGGGAACACGAAGGTGGGGTCCATGGAGACGGACTCGCCGTGGTCGCCGAACTCATCGACGTAGTAGAGGAGCTAGCGGCGGATGGGAGGGCGGAGGCGGCGTACGCGACGGAGAGGCTATGGGTGGAGAAGGGATTAGCGGGGTTAGGCTTTGACATCGAGAGGGAGAAGAGTAGGAGAAGAAAAATGAGCGCTTTCCTGAAACTTTTAAATTTGGGGCAAATTCTGGGTGTTTTATTTTTCTTTTTGTGGGTCCTAGCTTCCTAGACGGAAATTTTCGCCGAACTCATCGACGTAGTAGAGGAGCTAGCGGCGGATGGGAGGGCGGAGGCGGCGTACGCGACGGAGAGGCTATGGGTGGAGAAGGGATTAGCGGGGTTAGGCTTTGACATCGAGAGGGAGAAGAGTAGGAGAAGAAAAATGAGCGCTTTCCTGAAACTTTTAAATTTGGGGCAAATTCTGGGTGTTTTATTTTTCTTTTTGTGGGTCCTAGCTTCCTAGACGGAAATTTCTGTCTAGGAAGTATACTAGACAGAAATTTCAGTCTATGAAGATTGGACCCACATTTTTTTAAAAATATTTTAAAATTTTCTGTATAGGAAGTTTCCTAGACGAAAATTTCTGTCTAAGATGAAATATCCTAGATGGAAATTTTCGTCTAAGATGAATCATCCTAGACAGAATATCGTAGACGAAAAATTCCATTGATATTATCGACACCCTAGACAGAAAAAATTCCGTCTAGGATGCTAAAATTTTTACTAGTGATCCAAGATAATCATTTTATTTATTTCATCCCAGCTAGCTCCACTTATACCAAGGCAAGCCCTCATGTCATTGAACTTGTTTCTCAAGCATTTCAAGTGGTTAATGACATGAAGATGAGTAAAACCAATCCTAAATTGCATGTTTATTTTCATGGCTGCCATTTTATAAGCTTCTGCCTTGAAGTTCTTTTCTAGCTTCAACCCATCTAATGCTAATTCTACAAGATAAGGAATAAGCACATCATCGTGTTCTGGAAGCCAAAACTTATTAGACATACCCCTTGAGTTTAACATTGTCGTTAGGACCTTTTTCTTTTGAGCTAATTCCTTTCCTTTTTTTCTTTGGTGAAGTCTGCTCCTTATCATCAACGTCATGAATTACTTTCCCACTTGAATCATTAGTGTTTAGTAAAAATTGATTAGGTCCACTGCTTTGAGAACTATAAGTGGGTAAAAGCAAACCTTGTAGACTGCTTAAAAGTCATAATATGTTACATAAGAAGCATAAAAAATATGATGGAACAAACAACACATTAAGTTAAGTCACTCTCCATTGTGTTACCACCCCTATACTTTGCACAATAATCCACCCACATTGCCTAAGAAATTTGATCTCTGAGCTCCTTCTAATTATTTCTTGCATATTGATCCTCTCTCTGTGTTCTAGTTTGAGTACAGTCCACTACAGTTGAATCATATTCATTTGTCACTTCCCCATTATCTTCTTCAATTTCTACGTTCTCATTTAAAATATCATCATCTGAATCTTATAAGGCAATAAAATTGTGCAACCCAGTACACGCTAATATAATGTCCACTTGAGTGAGAAATAGATAATTTGGCTTTGCCGATAGAATTTAAAACTAGTTTTTCAATATATCAGATGTGCATTTAATTTTTGATCTTAAAGATGAATATTATTGAGTAACTTTTTTCTATTCTTTGGTGTCCTACTAGTGTGTTCATTTAAATGATACCGTACACCGTGATATGGGGATATGAATCTAGGCATGATGGTGTATCCAGTATCACATAGGTAATATTTACCTACATTAAATACAACAATATCTTAAGATCTCAATTATTGACAAGTATTTAATTTATTATTCAAATATGAATAAGTAAGAACTAATACCATCGTAAACTCTCAGCCCGTAAGGATGTGGTCTCAATAGAGCATCTTGTAATATCCTATAGTCATTTGTTGTTCCCTCCCACCAAGCTAGGACATAGGTGAATAGTTTATTGGATGTGCAGGCTGCTAAGACGTTTTGTGTCACACCTTTCCGCCCTCTAAACTGTGCAATTAGGTTACTAGGTAACACTGCGTCAATGGGTGTGTCATTTATCAAATCAATGCAGTCCTATAAAAAATTATAAATTATAAATTATTTATTTAAAAGATATTTTAAGGCATAAATATTATTTTTATCTTAAAATAAGGAAAATAATTTGGATTGTTTACAATCCCTGCAGGAACTTCATTTAGAGCTTGCTTCGTGTAGCGATCACGTAACCCATTCATTGCTTGTAGGACTTTACTGAAATACCTACTAATTGTTCCTCCCAACCTTATGAACTCAATTCTTATTATTCTATTTTTAGTTTTATGACCCACTATACTTAGGAACATAGCAAGGTGTTCTTTGACTTGAACATGTCTTGTATCCTTTAATAAACCATGTGCTTTCATTATTTCAGCAAGTGTAAAAAAGGCCCTTGGTATCATTTAAACATAAGACCGGCCGACAACTATCACTATAGCCTTCCAATACACGTTTGAAGTGAGCTTCTCTGCAATATTTTTTTGATATTTTCTTCCCTTGTACACATACAAATTATCTTGCACTGAGTACACATTCTTAAAAGACAAGTTACTATCGTGACCACAGAAGAAACAGTTGTATTAGCATATATCCTCTTTAATTGTTCTTCATATATGTTATCTATCTACATCCATTGTAAAATTAGCATACACTTAGAACTTAATATTTCCACTTTTTCAAGCCATAACAATAATAAATAACTAATACATATATTGAAATCTCAAAACAAAATTTCTAAATATACAAAAATCTATTTTCATAAATAAACAACTAATTAATATATTGAAATCTTAAAACAAAATTTCTAATTCATATATTAAATAACCAATTTATAACCATCCATGATCAACTATGACTAATAAGCGAAGCAACGAAGCTCTAAATTATCAAACATCCACTACAAAATCAACCATGATAAATAACCATCCATGATCATATATTAATTTTTATAAAAAAAACGGGTTATAGATTTATACCTTGAACTGCCAAAGCTCTAATTCAAGGCTGAAAATCGAAATTTCATTCTTATTTTCTGAAAGCTAATTGCTTTGTTTGTTAATTTCTTTGTTAATTTAATAGAACAAATCGAGCTCCACTAGAAATCTATGGACATAATGGAAGGTAGAAATTGCCATTTGCTTTTGTATAAATATTTTTTTGTTTATAATTATTTTATTTTTTTGGTTTCGAATGAATGTTTGAGATGAAATCAGAGTGTTGCGAAAATTAGGGCTTGCAGCTGTACTTTCTTACGGATTGTCTAATGGAATTTAATTTTTTAAAAAGCTAATTTGATTTTCCAAAAACATTTACCTACATTTGGAAAAAATTTAGGAAACACAGACTCTACGAGGAAACTACTCCTCCAAAACTCTCGTTTTCTATAAAGAATAAACAATTTGTCGAAGTATGTTTTTAACGAAGTTTAAAGGGGAGGTTTATCTGCTATGGAAATTAGAAAGGGAAGAAAAAAATGAAATACAGTAGAATGATGAAAAGATTGGCTGTAGATTTACAACTGATCTTCAAAATCAATTAACTGAAATCAGCCTTATCCATATTCTAATTTACTAATATACCTTTATAACTTTTTTTAAGTTCAAGTTAGAATAATTCTTCCAGACCAGCAGCAGATTAGGAGGCATGTGATGTGACGAGTTGGTAAGTAAAATGATAGATTTGGTAATAGATATTGAAAATTAAAGAAGGAATTATTTTTAGAGAAAATAAATAACCTTCCATCTTCCAGTTAAACTTCATCATCTTCAACCGTTTTAACACAATTTCTTTAATCCGCATCCCCCCGAAAAAATAAACGACTACTCCATGAGACCATCCCGTTTATGGTTCCTCCGGGGAGCACTCTCTAAAATAATCCGGAATTGTAAGACAACCCCTTGAAAATAAGAAACATGCAAAAACAACACCTTAAAAATAGGAAAACAACAAATACAATTAGGACCCAATTAAGTAAATAGATATACGTGGGCAATACAGCGGGTTGGTCGAACGGGGGCAATTGGGTTTGGGTGAGAGTTATCACCACACACACAGTCAATTGTCGCAAAGCTGGACGTATAATTTTAATTGAATTGATTTTACAGCTGTGAACAAAATAGTGCTCGCTACAAATCGATAACATATGAACCATGAGTAGAATAACATCTGAACCATGCATGAGTAGTAAATTGATTAAACGCAACCAAGAATAATATAATACGCACCGAATTAAAATATTAATGCAATAAAGTTTTAAAATCGTAATGCCAAAGGTTCGAGGAAAAGCAACAAAACGACGTAAATAAGAAACGTGTCGCGATTTCAATGATCGCTAACGCTAAGAAGGAAGAAATCAAGATCTGCTGCAAAGCGGTAAACCTTGCTCGCTTTTAGGACGGATGTGGCGTCAACCACACCGGAGGCGGCCAAGTTAAGCGATTTATGGGCGAGTCGCGAGGGTACAGAGGCTGAACAACCCCGTCCTTCATGTCGAAGACTCCGACGTCGCGCCTCATGCGGCGATGGCTAATGTATTGCTCGCTCTCTCCGTCGGTGAAATAGATACAATTCTCTTTCAGCTCGGGCAGCTCCCTCGTCTTGAGCAGCATCGAACGATTATCCCCTAGAAACAGGGCAGTGCCCTCTTCCAGCCTTTCCAATCTGACCATCGCCCTCCCCTTCGGATCGAGCCTAAACACTGTGAACCCTTGCGTCTCGTGGATGAGGCCGGAGGACAGTTCTCCGTCATAATCCCCGTCAGGAGTCACCCAAGACTCATCCCTCCAGATCTGCAACAGATCGCCGTCCAATGACTCCACCAAATAAAATCTCTGCCTGGTGTATACGTAGTTGGGAGGCCCCACGAACGTCATCCTTGGCGGTGAAGACGAGATGTCGAACGCGACCAAGTGTGCGGCTCCGTTGACCACGCCGTAATACTGCCCCCTGTGAAGTGCGACGTCGCGATAGCGTTGAGTTCGGTCCAGCGGTCGTCCCCGAGCCTCGCGAACGCAAGGTCTCTATAGTCGCTGTATATGATGAAGACCGTTGTGGAGGAAGGATCGTCGGAACCCGCAAAGACTACTGCCCTAGTGTGGAAGTACTTCAGCATGTATTCCAGGTCGTGGAAGAACCATGATTCGGCGTCTCTCGGCATGGCATATGGATGATGTAACCAGTGACGCCGCCGGCAGCGTCCCTTTCGACGCCTTGGATTACGGAGAGGGTGGTGATGGAAGGGAGATCATGTTCGGCCCCTGTGAAGGGGTTGAAGAGGTGGAGCTCAGCTACATCGTCGACCGTGACGAGCCAGGAGTCAGCGGCGCCGACGCAACGACGGTCGCGGATCTGAGGGAGATGGAAACGGTAGGTCTTGTCGTCTGAAAGGCTGAAGATGGTTCGGTACTCGCTGTTCTCATCAATTGCGTCGCCAGCGAGCATGCGTGAGTCCGGACCAGTCGGGGACGCTGGGGATGGACGCCATTACAGAATTGGTGCAGGGATTGGGGCGAGTTTCTCTGGTAGCGGCGTCGGGGTGGCTAGGGACGGAAGCCATTAGCTAGGGTTTTAATTAATTAGTTTTCTTTGCAGCCTTATTTATAGAAAAGAATAGTTTGATTTGGGTGGGTTTGGGGTGCTATTTGTAGAAAGGAGGAGTTCGAATTAATTAATTAGTTTCGGGACATTCCTGATTAGTTACCGAATCATCACCAACATATATACAACTACATTCAAACTAGGAAGGTTGTGGAGCGATAAAAGCAATTTAACTTTAGGGGTTTTTGCTTTTAGACCCATTTATTTACTCAACTTTATCTTTAAACCCACCTATTATTACTAGTATCTTTAAACCCAATTCTCTTTTGATATTTGTCTTTAAACCCAATCTCCAAAATACAATACTTTTACTACTTGTATTTATACAAAATCAAGGTAAAAACCCCAAAATACCCCTTTTCCCATATAAACCACTATATCTCTTCATCTTCCCCTTTTCAACTCAGCCCTAAATTAAAAAACGAAAGCTCCTTGCCGCCGTCGCCCGTCTCCAGCCACTGTCGCCCTCTCAGAGCACCCTCCTTTCGTCAGTCCACAGCGTCATCCCAAGAGGACCTGACCCCCAACAACGAATCTCAACGCTCTCCTCCCCCAAAGTCTCATCATGAACTCTCTCCTCTATCCAAACCCTAACCATAGCCCTAATTTCACCAAAACCTCTCCTTTAAAACAGCCCAACCTCTCAAGCTCAACCGATTGGATCTCTCTCAGCCCTCATACTCCCCGAATCGGCCTCTCGCTCAACCGGCGGGGCTCGACCTCGAGGTCCGCTCTCTACTCAGAGAGGATTGATTTGACTGCAATTAGATTCGGATCCTCCGAATCCGGCGGTGTTGACGTCGTATCGGAGCTCCAATATCCCGAGACCGAAGTAGATAATGTTGGAGGCCTAGGCTAGGGTTTGCACGGGACCGGAGAAGACGAAGCCGATGACCGAGGAACAGGCGATGGCGGTCCTTGAGACGATTCTTAGATCAGGTGACCTCAGTTCTTTTGAGAGCTCTTACTAATTTTTCTTAAATTGAGGTCAACTTAGTAGTTCAACTTAATTATCTTCTTATTTTTTTGGTAATTTCTGCTTATTTATGTTCGCAAATGATAACTGGGAACTTTGAGATTAGGCATCGAAATATGTATATAATTGGAGCATAGTATTAGACCGAAGTATTATTTACTTACTGGATATAGTTCACCCTTGTCCCTTGTCTTCGCAGTTTTGGGGCATTTTGTGGCATACTTTAACTGTGTGTACACTATATTTAAACTGAAAGATGTTTGCATATTTTGGAAAAATTGTTCTACTAGATATTTCTAGCTGCAAAATGCATCTCTTGCATTATAGAAAATTGACCACTATGCTCTTTTTGGCCCCACGAGCTGGAAAAATTCAAATTAGGCATCACATATCGAATTGAAGTGTTCTAAAATGAAGGCAACCAATTCATTACATCGATAAATGATGCACTAGTCCATGCTGGACATGTTTGTGGTCTAAACTTTTATTTGTTAACTTCCTGATGTGGACTGTTTGCCACTTCTTACATCCTTTATTTCTCAAAGAATAAATATGATCTATCACTTTCAACTGAAAGGTAATATGTAACAGGATGTAGTCCATGGGTAACTGTAATCTTAACTTTCTTTGTTTTTTTAGAGATGCATCAATGAAAATAACTCATCGAGTGTGGATCGAATGTTTAAGCCAATGACGACAACTCAATTCCAAGAACTTGATAAGATTATTTTCCCACTCCTAACTTCATTTCATTGGCATATGTTGGTATTCTCTGTAAAGGATAGAAGATTTTATCATTATTCTTTTCTTCGCGGGTATATGTCTGATGCTTGTGAGTTTAGAGTGAATCTTATTTCTACCATTCCCGATGCTTGGAATTTAGACATTACTTCTTGTCAGGAGGTAGAAAGTGTTGATGTACCTCAACAACGTGGGTTAGTGTATTTGACTTATTCATATGTTGTTGTTTTTCGTATGTGCTAACACATAGAGACTATATATTGCGAGCCAAGAGTGTTATATTGATATTGTAAACATTTGAACTTGCAGTAGCTTGGATTGCGGGATGTTCTTGATGGCATACATGTTTAGCCTCGTTTCTGGCCAACCAATTTCAATTGACCAAAAGGATTGTGCAAGACATAGAGCTCGTATTGTTGCTCTATTTCTATCTAAAGGTATATTTTCTATAAGTGTAATGTTCATTGAACCGCTTATATTCAGTCTATTGTTCTTTTGATCCGCTTATATTTTGCTTTCAGGAAATCAACCAACATGATCCTCAAGACCAATTCCCCGGTTGCTACATGCCAATTGTGATATCCAATATTTTTTGTGTACAAATATATTTTGGAAATTGATTTGTAAAGTATTTGTATAAATATATGTTGATTATGTAGTCCATAGTGTTTTGTGTCTTTTGTGGTAGATTATAGCCACTGTGGTTAAATTACTGGGTTATGTAAAGTTTTGCATGCTTCTAAGTCATTGATATTGATGGTTAACTTTATTTTAGACAATAACCATTGTTTGCGTGTTGTATGTGCTGGAATGGTTGAAGAAACTTCTTGATTTTTTTGTGTCTCTTGGATATGCAATGTTTTCTTGGATATGCAGTGTTTTGTGTCTCCTGGATATGCAATGTTGTATATTGTTTGCATGTTGTATTGTTTGGAAATGGATTAAGTATAGCACGTTATGTATATAGTTTGTCAATCTCCTGGATATGCAATGTTGTATTTTCTTGGATATGCAATGTTTGGTGTCTCTTGGATATGCAATGTTTTCTTGGATATGCAGTGTTTTGTGTCTCCTGGATATGCAATGTTTTATATTGTTTGCATGTTGTATTGTCTAGAAATGGATTAAGTATAGCACGTTATATTGTAAGTATAGCACGTTAACCTGAAAATATAGCATGTTAATCTGAAAGTATAGCACGTTGTATTGTAAGTATAGCATGTTATGGAGTAAGTATAGCACGTTAAATTGTAAGTATAACACGTTATATTATAAGTATAGCACGTTAACATGAAAATATATCACGTTAACCTGAAAGTATAGCATGTTATGGAGTAAGTATAGCACATTAATATGAAAGTATAGCACGTTATATTGAAAGTATAGCACGTTATAAAGTAAGTATAGCACACTATGAAGTAAGTATAGCACGTTATATTGTAAGTATAGCACATTAACATTTAAGTATAGCATGTTATCCTAAAAGTATAGCATGTTATGGAGTAAGTATAGCACGTTAATATAAAAATATAACACGTTATATTAAAAGTATAACACGTTATGAAGTAAGTATAGCATGTTATATTGTAAGTATAGCACGTTAACCTGAAAGTATAGCACGTTAATCTAAAAGTATAGCACGTTACATTGTAAGTATAACACGTTAACATGAAAGTATAGCACGTTAATATGGAAGTATAGCATGTTATGGAGTAAGTATAACACGTTAATATGAAAGTATAGCACATTATATTGAAAGTATAGCACGTTATATTATAAGTATAACATGTTATATTATAAGTATAACACGTTAACCTGAAAGTATAGCACGTTACATTGTAAGTATAGCACGTTAACATGAAAGTATAGCACGTTAACCCGAAAGTATAGCATGTTATGGAGTAAGTATAGCACGTTAATATGAAAGTATAGCACGTTATTTTGAAAGTGTAGCACGTTATGAAGTAAGTATAGCACATTATATTATAAGTATAGCACGTTAACCTGAAAGTATATCACATTAACCTGAAAGTATAGCACGTTATATTGTAAGTATAGCACGTTAACATAAAAGTATATCACGTTAACCTGAAAGTATAGCATGTTATGGAGTAAGTATAGCACATTAATATGAACGTATAGCACGTTATATTGACAGTATAGCATATTATAAAGTAAGTATAGCACATTATATTGTAAGTATAGCACGTTAACCTGAAAGTATAGCACGTTATATTGTAAGTATAGCACGTTATATTGTAAGTATAGCACGTTATTATAAAATTATAGCACGTTAACCTGAAAGTATAGCACGTTATATTGTAAGTATAGCACGTTAACATGAAAGTATAGCACGTTAACCTGAAAGTGTAGCATGTTATGAAGTAAGTATAGCACGTTAATATGAAAGTATAGCACATTATATTGAAAGTATAGCACGTTATGAAGTATATCACGTTATATTGTAAGTACAACACGTTAACCTGAAAGTATAGCACGTTAATATTGAAGTATAACACGTTATATTGTAAGTATAGCACGTTAACATAAAAATTTTAAATTTGGTGTAGCTCATTCAAACAAACATTAAAAAATAATAACCACAATAGTAAAGTTTGAAAACATAAGTGAGAAAAACAATCAAAGTGGAACTGAGAAACAAATTTTAGTAAAGAAATAAGTTAAAAATACTTAATCATAATATTTAATCACGTACATTGCTAGTGCATAAATCCTAGTTAAGTAAATAAATATACGAGGACAGTACAGCAGGTTGGTCGAACGGGCAATTGGGTTTGGGTGAGAGTTATCACCACACAATCAATTGTCGCAAAGCTGGATGTATAATTTTAATTGAATTGATTTTACAGCTGTGAACAAAATAGTGCTCGCTACAAATCAATAACAACTGAACCATGAGTAAGGTAAATTGATCAATCACAACCAAGAATAATATACTACGCACCCAAAAAATATTAATGCAATAAGGCCCTGTTTGGCAACAGGATAAATGGAGGGTTAAGTGAGTTTAACCCGTCATTAGCCTGCCAAACAGAAAAAAAACAAGAAGGGCTAACAAACCCGCACGTGAGCTTTTTTCCCCATTTAACCCGTCATAAGAGGGGATAACAATTCCATGGAATTAGGCGGAACAAGCTTTGTTCCGCTCTTTGTTCCGCCTTCTCAAGAGGGTAGGGGCGGAAATTTTCCATCTTCAAAATCTCGCAGATCGTTCGTCTTTGTTCCGCCTTCTCAAGAGGGTAGGGGCGGAAATTTTCCATCTTCAAAATCTCGCAGATCGTTCGATTACGAAATTCGCAGCAACAATCTTTTCCCCCAAATTGTTTTCCCTCTACTTCTTTCCCTCTATATTTTCCCTCTATAAATTTCCCTCTACTTTTCCACCTGAGAGAGCTATTAATAGGAATTTTTGAGGGGGGACAAGCAAGAAGAAGAGAGGAACTTTCAGACGTGGGGATCTCAAGCGACGGGAGGCAAAGCAAAGACAGGTATGATGATTTTGCAATATCGACTTGGTTTTCCAGATCTGTTTTATGAATCTCTTTGTTTGATGGATGGTTTTTGCTCTTATCAAAAGCATGCCGGTGGATTTTATATATGGCTTTTATTGCTTTTTTTCTTCGTGGGATTAGGCTATATGTTGATTTTTTTCTTCGAGGATGAAAATTTTCACTAATCTATTTTTTGTGAAATTTTGGTATTATATGTGACCATCAAAGGGGATGCAAGGATTATCAAACAAAATGGTAATATTTCAATCTGAAATCCCATGGCGGAAGTAGGATTAATAGGAAATAGAGAAGATAATGCTAACCTTATCTTAAATCCAATTTTGTTACGATATATTCCCTCGAAAATTAAGCCGATCTCATTTTTGAAGGCAAATCATTCGTGTTGTGCATAAAAGATTGTCAACAATGCAGGCGTCAGACAAAATTAATCATGTTCACGTCTTCAGATGAGCACAAACTTGTAACCTGCAAGATGAATAATATACAAACACTAGTCCTCTATGTACTTTTGCAGTATCTGCAATAACATTTCATGCAAAACTTTGGCCTTTTGTCCAATTAATAGAAAGAGGCATATCACGCTGCGTTTGGTCTGTTTCAGGTGACATAAATGTTAACCTACAAAAGACAAAATTCATAGAGACTACTGATTATGTGAATTCCTGTTTACAAACACTATAGATTTTACTACAGACTATTTTTCCTGATGATGAATGGCATCAGAGTTTGCTGCATTAACCTTTTGGCAAATAATTATTTATAACAATTGTGAAAACAATCAATTATTGACAAAAACAACATGAACTAAATTGTTGTGCCTTATTTAATTATGTTTTTTGTGATCATTACAATTTCTTATATTTAAGATTGTAGACATTATTAGTGCTGACAATAGAGGCTTAGTTGAGGAATTTTGATATGTTTTTAAGAAAAAGGTTAAAATTGTAATCTGCCTCCCTTTAGTTTGTGTAGTCTTTGAGTCTTTTTGGCCTTGAGAATCTGACTCCATCAACGTAGCTTGTGGATCCTAGACCGAATCCATAGAAGGTTTTGTTTTGCCAGTATGCGAGGTTGTGGCTGCACTCGTTGCCGCCCTTGCAGTAGCTGCTGATCTCGTAGTGGTCGTATCCCGCATTGGTGAGGGTTTCTGATGCTATTATGTAGAAGTTTGCAGATTGGGTTTCTATTGGTAGAGGAAATTCTCCCGGAGTGTACCTGAATATGTATAATTTGATATTATCAACAAAAAGTTTAACACTCTATCTCCTCAGGTGTGTTGCAACTGCATTTAAATCTCAACGTACGCATGTTTAGATGATGTTATTGCAACTTCAAGTTACAATAAAAGAAAGTTGACTGAAAAATACAGGATTTGCAATTATGCTTGAACTGGAGTGTTCGAACAATAGGAGTTGGAACTGCATTATGTTGTAATTGCAATTGTCATTCAAACAAGCCATGCATTTAGGTTATGTTTTGTTAGACCATATATACTTACAAGTTTATGTGCATTGCGGCATTGTGCAATATCATTTAGTTCAAATTCATGTTGTTTAAACATCCATCAATCTGAATATAGCAACGACTCCTCTATTTATAAGTCAACTTTGTTTTTGCAACAAATCTTCCTATGAAAAAACAATCAACAAAACAGACGTTATGGAGTTTGAATGTAGCTAGTTATGCTACATAAGACTCCAACTACCCTTACCCCAAACATAACTTAAACCAAACATTACAGATTTTACTACATGCTATTTTTCCTGATGATGAATGGCATCAGAGTTTGCTGCATTAACCTTTTGGCAAATAATTATCTTTTTTTTGTGATCGTTACAATTTCTTACATTTAATATTCTAGACATTATTAGTGCTGACAATAGAGGCTTAGTTGAGGGAATTTGGATATGTTTTTAAGAAAAATGTTAAAATTGTCTGGTGCATTACAATTTTCACAAAATAATAATATTAATAATAGCCAAAAGATTTGTACCAGACGAGAATCAAACCCATTGTGTACCATGCAGGATACAATTCTACCACTAGACAGATGCTACAATCACAGAGAAATTTGATTCTTTTTAACAATAATAACATTGCAGTTTGTGATAATACCCTATATAAAGAAATTACACAGCTCGCATCTTTGACATTATTAACTTCATGGTCTTATATGACCAACAATAACAGTATGCTGTTAAATGATCAAAAAGCCAACTTTAACATATATCACATATTTATTAAGGACAGTGCAATGCTTGACATTAGATTTGAATATCAATCATGCTTAACTATGCAAACCTGAATTAGGAAGATAAAAACTCAGTACGGTCAAAGGGTCTAATCAGTTCGTCAAAATGGTAACATATGGCTAGTCTATTTTCTCTATTGAACTTAATATAAACAAGCCATTTTGAGTGTTGCTGGTTAGTAGGATAAATGGGTCTGCAACTGAGAATATCTTAAATGGTAAGAAAGATCTGCATACACAATTTCTTACATATTAATATGTGCTAGATTAACATCTTAATTTTTGACTTATACATTTTTGTTAAAATGAAGCTTTTCATTGCAAGGGAAAACAAATCTTACAAGCTAAATTAAATTATGTCCATATATCATATAATATTTTACTTGTACTGGGTTTATAGTTTGAGCTTATATTTCTTTGGATTGCCAACTCAATATCAAACCATAGCATGTTGTTTAAGAATTTCTAATATATTATAATTGATTACTTTATTGTTCAAATGATTAACTTCTTTTAAAATTCTCATTAATGGTGTAGAATGGTTAAGAAGAACTTCATATCACAATCTCAACCCGAAGGTGGGCAGTCAAGACCTCGAGCTAGGAACTGGATTATAGATGAAGACAATTATTTGTTGGGAATATTGAAGGAAATTGTCCTTAAAGGAAAGAACAATGGAGGTCATTTCACTACCGAGCAATGGCAAAATGTTACTGATGAGTATAAAGAAAGGACTGGACAAAATGACAGAGGCAAACTACAAATGCAAAACCGTTATAAAATTTTAAAAAAGCAATATTCCCTTAATTACAAACTCCGAAATAAATCAGGTTGGGGTTGGGATGAAGGTAAAAATAAATTACAAACTCCGAAATAAATCAGGTTGGGGTTGGGATGAAGGTAAAAATATGGTGATTGCACCTACTGCAAAAGATTGGGAGGATGAAGGTAAAAATATGGTGATTGCACCTACTGCAAAAGATTGGGAGGCATTGATAAAGGTATTTTTTAAATTTCTAGTATTATTAAATTTGAATTTTATATAAAACTATTATATATTTATTATGAATTTTCTACCACAGGAGAATGATGAGTATTTAAGAATTAAGAACAAAGCTTTTCCTCAGTTCGACGACATGAATTTTCTATGTGGAGGTAACACATCTAAGGGGCGGTGGTGGTTTGGGACTACTGATGACTTTAATGAGCGTGAAGGAAGCACTAGTTTAGAAAATGAATTGGAGGATACTGATGGGCCACACAATAACGAGATAGATTTGAGTGATTCAGAGGAGGTACAAGAAGTGGAAGAGACACAAGTTCCTTTTAATGGTACACAACCACCACCACAACCAATACCTAGTTCTACTCCGATCATAAAGCATCACGCTCAACCATCAGGTTTAAAGCGTAAGTTTAAAAACATTTCTCGTCGTCGAGTATCAGGTATTGAAGTTGAAAATAATTTGTCGAAAATGATTGAGCTACAAAAACAACGAGTTGAAATTACAAAAGAGCTTGTAGATTCCAGAAAAGGGGTGCCTACTGAAATGAATGAGTGCATGGATAAGATAATAAAATTATCAGGTGTAACTAGTGATCTATGTGTGGCAGGAGCAGAAGCTATTAAAAAGAAGGAGAATAGGCATGTCGTTAATATGCTTAACGGTCAAATGCTATTATCATGGCTCAAGAAACAAATGGATTTACAAAATGCAATGACCGGTTATCCATCGCCTATTTACAATTTCCAACATCAACCACCTCTAATGCACCAGTTCCAGGGTCAATCACGAATGTCACAAGCTCATGACATCAACATGCAGGAGATGGGGTCATTTGTCAACTTACTTAATGAGAAACAAAACTTTCGTACCAATTGATGCTTTATGTTCAAGTCTCAAGAGTCAAGACTAATCAAATTTAGTTTATTATTATGTTTTTTTGCTTTTAGTTGAAGTTGATGTTTCAAAGAGTGACTTTTTTATTGTCAGACAATCAAATTGTGTTTTTTAATGTTTAGATTATATCATATGGTGAATGGTTTTTATGTTAGATAATCTTTTTTCAAAGATTCTAGGATTTGCAAAGATATCTTATGTTTAAATTATGGTTTTATTATTTCAAAGATAGTTTTAGCCGCTGGATGTTTGCGTGCGTGCATGTGTGTCTTCATATGTGTTTAGTAGTATGTCTATTTGGGATATGTAGGTTTTTCTTCTTTTTTTTGCTTGCATTAAGGAATGAAAAGTGAGGATGCTATGATTTGTATATTGGAGCAAAATGCTGTTTATATGCTGCAAATTACATACTAAAATTGCCACACTGTTTCTATGCTGCAAATTGAATATTCTAAATTGCCACACTGTTTCTATGATTTGTATTAATGTTAGTTCTTTAAGTTATGTGACAACAGTTTTACATGGTGACACTGAGACATTAGCAATCGTGTTTATTGTATTGCATTAGCAAACACCATAATTGATGTAGGGTGACCTATGAAATGGTTGTCTTTCATTGTGTTCATCCTCGTCTATTGTTTCTCTGGTGCTGGAACTATCATCTGTATCACTTATATTTTATTATGTTTGGGACTGATTGTCATCAGCACCATTGCCAGTATCGGATTGCTCTGCTACAGACCTCATATTTTCATTTGTTTCTTCCTTTTTCTCAGCATTGTTCTCTTTCTCTGTGTTAAAATCCGCAGGAGCCTCAGTTTCATCATCAGTGTTCTCACTCTTAGCCTTATCATCTCGAGAGCTCTCATCCTCTTGGACATTTGAGACTCCATCATCATTTTGGTTTTGCGCATTTTCCAACTTCAGGTTGCTAGAAACATTCCCTTCTTCTGTAGCTTCTGCCATGGATTCTGAATTTTTGGCTACCACGCATGTTTTAGATTAGTTGTATATTGCAATTAATTGTAGTTGGATGGTGAACTAGTAAATGTGTGCAGTTGTCTACTTATTTACCACTTTTGTCTTACATGATTGTGTGTGTTCTTTTTCTAAGTGGTTACCTGAATGTGCTTTCAGAACACAATTATCACATGATATCCTTCAAATGTATGAAGGTCCAACTTTTTCCAACATTTGGTTTAGTTTAAGGTATGATTGGCCTCTTTATATTGCATAGCCATGACAGAAAATTTCTTCTGAGTACTATCGCATAAAATCAAGATCGTTCTGTTCCTTGTTATCATTGTTGTTTTTGAGACTTGAATCTTGACTAGTTCTTTGTTCTTAGACATCAGTTGGTGGAAAATCCTAAAGTTTTGTATGTTCTCACCTTTTTCCTTGCTGTCTATTAGCTTAAACATTAATCTTTTGTCCATTCACACGCCTGGAGTCCCTCTACCTCACAGAATTTTAAGCTACCAGTGTGATGTTAGTCCTCATTATTATTGAAAGGTGAAGTGTGTTTACAGATGGCATCACTTCAATTAACTAACAACAAAGCTTAAGTTCCATTTTCTTGTGAATTGGCTACGTGAATTAACTCAAGACTATATCACTATTGATTCTGTCAATCTCCCTTTTCTCTGTCTGTGTTTTCCCTACTTAAGAGTCTATATTATTTTCTAATTCGCATAATTAACACCGGCTGTTACTTAACAACTTGTATATGCACACACTCACACACATATAATCAACTTGTCTTCTTGTGCTATGAGACGTGTGTTAGGTAATCTTTGGATTCTTGATATGATAATGAACTAACATCATGTTGAAACCATGTGGATGACTAGCTATGGAGAAGATTTAATTACCCTTCAAATGTTTCTGGCAGCTACAAGTGCTTCAGTAAGCATACACAGTTGCTACTCCCAGTTAGGACCCAAAGTCGTTCTATTCTACTATTTGATTTTGCTTCAATATTAGTCTTGATTTGACTATTGATTTGGACAATTATGAACTATTCTACTATGTTGGGTGTGCTAATATTAATTAAGATCTTTTTATTATTTGGCTGCGGTCATATCTCAAAATGTAATGGCAGCGTGCTCCTTTGATCATACTTTTCTTTATGTGGCTGCTGGATGGGAGGGATCAGCATCTGATATGTCAGTGCTCCGTGCAACACTGGAAGATGGTAAATTTAATGTTCCCGAAGGTAAATTTTAATATTTTTTCTTCTCTTTTTAAAACAATTCAATTGGTATTAAAGTCAGATAATTTTAAATATATAGGTCACTTTTACTTAGTTGACTCAGGATATGCTAATACTTCAAAATTTATCGCCCCATATCGTGGATCACGCTATCATCTTGGAGATTTTGCAAACAGGACAACCAGAGCCTATCGAGATACTAAAGACAAATATAATCATAGGCATGCACAACTACGTAATGCAGTGGAAAAAGCATGGGGAATTTTAAAGCAAATATTCAAAATTTTGAAAGTTGCTGCTCCATTTCCTTATAAAACTCAAGTCAAAATCGTTGTAGCTTGTTGTGTTCTTCATAATTTTATTGCAAGGCATCAGGGAAATGATAAATACTTTAATATGCTCAATGGATTAGAGATGAATGAGGATGAAGATGAGGTGGAGGAGGAAGAAGACCCCCAATACATGGTTGGTGCAGATGAAAGTTTAAGGGGTGAGCAGCTTCGCAACAGGATTGCTTTACAGCTTTGGAATAATTGAAATATGTAGTTGTCGAATATTGAAGTATAAGGAGGTTGAATTATGTCTTTTACTATCTTTATATGAGGAAAACTTATAATTTTATACAGATCTATTGAGTGGATTGTTTTTTCCTTGAATAATCAAATCTATTTTTTATTGAATAATCATTTTATTTGCCAGGTTTATTGATAGAGAAGAAGCCATATAATATTTTGTTAGCTCATTATCTCTCTTTAGTAGCTGAAATAATGTGAAATAATAATTTATTTTAATTTACCTTTTGAACAATCATTTATTTAATAATACCAAATTGTCATTTTAGCGCTATTTCGAAAAAAAAATTATCCCACGTGTCTCAACTGAATTACATATTATTGATCAGAAGATAAACAACGCGAAAAAGATATTAATGAGGCAATTAGTTATAAATTTTCAGTAAGGGCGAAAGTGGTATTTTTAAAAAAATTAATGAGATTAATCTCCTTATCCCTTCTTTATTTGCCAAACACAAAAGTCTTAACCCCTTGTCTTAACTAGCGAATCCAAACGGAATTAGAATATTTTTAACCCTTCTAAATGGATTAACTAAGTTAACCCTTCTCCTTAATCCCTCTTTCTTAACCCTTTACCAAAGGGTACCTAAAGTTTTAAAATTGTAATGCTAAGGTTCGAGAAAAAGCAACAAAACAATGTAAATAAATAAGAAACGTGTCGTGATTTCAATGATCGCTAACGGTAAGAAGGAAGAAATAAAGAACTGCTGCAGGTGGTCAACCACACCGGAGGCGGCCAAGCTAAGCGATTTGTGGGCGAGTCGCGAGGGTACAAAGGCTGAACAGCCCCGTCCTTCATGTTGAAGACTCCGACGTCGCGCCTCATGCGACGATGGCTAATGTATTGCTCGCTCTCTCCGTCGGTAAAATAAATACAATTCTCTTTCAGCTCGGGCAGCTCCCTCGTCTTGAGCAGCGTCGAACGATTATCCCCCAGAAACAGGGCAGTGCCCTCTTCCAGTCTTTCCAATCTGACCATCGCCCTCCCCTTCGGATCGAGCCTAAACACTGTGAACCCTTGCGTCTCTCGGACGCGGCCGGAGGACAGTTCTCCGTCGTAATCCCCGTCAGGAGTCACCCAAGATTCATGCCTCCAGATCTGCAACAGATCGCCGTCCAAAGACTCCACCAAATAAAATCTCTGCACAGTGCCTCCGTGGTTGGGAGGCCCCACGAACGTCATCCTTGGAGGTGAAGACGAGATGTCGAACGCGACGCAGTGTCCGGCTCCGCTGACCACGCCGTAATACTGCCCCTTGTGAAGTGCGACGTCGGTGAAGAAGCTATAAGGGCAGATAGCGTTGAGTTCAGTCCAGCGGTCGTCCCCGAACCTCGCGAACGCCAGATCTCTATAGTCGCTGTATACGATGAAGACCGTTATGGAGGAAGGATCGTCGGAAGCAGCAAAGACTACTGCCCTGGTGTGGAAGTACTTCAGCATGTATTCCAGGTCGTGGAACAACCATGATTCGGCGTCTCTCGGCATGGCATGGATGATGTAACCAGTGACGCCGCCGGCAGCGTCCCTCTCGACGCCTTGGATTACGGAGAGGGTGGTGATGGAAGGGAGATCATGTTCGGCCCCTGTGAAGGGGTTGAAGAGGTGGAGCTCAGCTACATCGTCGACCGTGACGAGCCAGGAGTCAGCGGAGCCGACGCAACGACGGTCGCGGATCTGAGGGAGATGGAAACGGTAGGTCTTGTCGTCTGAAAGGCTGAAGATGGTTCGGTACTCGCTGTTCTCATCAATTGCGTCGCCAGCGAGCAGGAGGAGCGGGGTACAGGGTTTATTGCGCCGCGTTTCGTTGGTGGCAGCGACGAACCATGACCTGCAGACGGCACGTGATCGGATGAAGTCGGTGGGAGAGAGGGCCCTGATATTCTTAATTTTTCACGGGCCCTAATCAAGCTTTCAAATGAGGGGCCTCTATATACAATATTCCATACACAAAAAATTTTATAAGATAGCAAAATATTTTTTATTAAAATGAGACAATAAGCACATAATCGTATTAATATTAAAATCAAAAAACTTCTTGATGCTTTATAAATAACACAATTCATACTACATTAAATGGGATCGCCTTGCATTTTGAGCTGCAAAATTATCAATTAAAATGTTCCAATCAAGCTTCTCCAATAAATTTTTTTCGATAGATATCATTGCCAATCCATTCAATCTCTCTTGTGACATTGTTGACCGTAGATAAGATTTGATGAGCTTCAACTTTGAAAAGCTTCTCTCGGCCGATGTAACTGTAACTGGTATTGTCAATAATACTCTATAAGCAATCCAAGCATTTGGAAAACAACAATTTATCCTTTCCATAAAATTCAATACTTCAATTGCTTTTTTTGTTCCTCTTGGTAATGCTTCTCTTAAGATTTGAGATTGGAGTTGCTGAAAATAATTTTGTCGGCCCATGTTTAATATCAAATTTTTGTCATGCTTTAGGAGATCTTCAAGGTTAAGACATGAACATTCTTGCAAACTAGTCATTATTCTGCAGGACTTCCCTCTCCCAAATTAAACAAGAAACGCAAAAGATTCATCCATACTGTTGAAACTGTTCAATCGCTACTCTGAGTGGAAGAAAGAGGGCTTGATGCAACGATATAATCATGAAGTAATTGACTTAAGCATTGCTTCAGCTGTCATTTGCATCATCTTTAGCTAGCATTTTCATGGCAAATGTTTCTTTCTCGAAGTGTATGGCGACGTTCAATGAAAAATGGGTTCAACTTTCCTATTCTAACTTGGGCAATTTCTTTAGCCTCAACGCATAGCTGCTTCAAATGCCCATTTTCTCTGTAGCTTTCAACAAAAAAGTAAATGAGGGCCGCTGCATTAAAAGGTCTATGCACATCAATCTGCATATCGCCTCTGATTGCATGATTTTAGCTTATTTGTGTTAATTTCGCATTGCAAAATATCAAACGACCAAATAACCATACCAAGTAAGAACTCAAAATTCTGCAATTTCATATGTTGGCTAAGACACTCCAGCATCACTTTTTGTCTTGGGATCTTCACTAGAACTTGCTAAGTAATGAAAGCATCTCTTATATCTGGAGGCTTGGAATCTTATTGGCTTTAACACTTTCAACTTGACTTCCCAACGAGTTTGTGATGGTGGCTTAAGTGTGAAACGTTTAACATTATCTGTAAGAAGCTTTCACCTGCTTTGTAGAAGTATGCAACAATGAATATATGGCCGCTGGCACACTCCAAAAAAGATGAAGCTTGCGAAGCAAGAGTTTACATATCACAAAGTGCAAGAGGTTAGCAGAGCTAATGAACACCACAAGGGTGTAGAATGCTGCTAGGATTTATCTCGTAATAATTCCTTGCTTTGTACAGCATTTAGTTTTCCTTTCATATTAGAACATTATCATAGCCCTATTGTCGCCTCTTACATCACCAATATCAAGTTTAAAGCTCTTTGCAAAATATTTACAAGTTCTTCAAAGTCGCTCCGTCCTGATGTATGCATCCACACTTTAAAATCCTAAAAAGAACTCGCTTCCATCTTTATTGGGTTGTTTGAAATATTCACGCATCTTATATAAGTGAAGCATTTGTTTCATGCGTTTGCATACGCGGAGTTAGAAAAAAGGAAAAAAAAAACAATCAAGATAAGCAGCAAAAATAGCTTTGCTTGCTTTAATGCTTTTGGATGATTAAACTTTTTGATCTCATCTGCTATTGAAGAATAAATTCATTTTGAATTTTGTGACTAAGATTTAAATATATGAATTTGGCTTCTCCTGATTGGCGACGACATCGCTGCTTGTTGCATTATTGGATCAAATTCGGCAATCATTTCTATTATAGCTTAAAAAATTTCCATTATTTCTTGCATAAACGGCTTCTCATTACTCCACGATGCCAAACTAATTTTTACAGCGGCAGTGTTTTCCAACAGCAAGCTACTGCTCAATAGTACTGTTTGCTCGCAATGTTTCTCGTTCTTCTGTGATTTTGTTCTTCAAGCAGCTTTTTTCGATTGTCGCATTTTGTCGTAATCTGATCTGCTAATTCAATCCCAAACTCTCAGTG